GGAGCTGCAGCGAGCGTGGCGGGAGGGCAACAGCAGCCGGCTGGAGCTGGGGAGCCTGAACGCCGAGCTGGCACGCGTCATGGGGGTCCTGGGGAAGACGGAGAAAGAGATGCAGGAGGTGCAGGGGAAGCTCAACAACAGCGAGAGCACTGTGGCCATCCTGCGATCCTGCACGGCTATAGGTAAGGCAATGGTGGAGCAGGGATGGGGTGCCACAGAGGATTGGCACCCCTCAGTAGGCGCAGTGCCAAGGCATGAGCACTGGCTTTTTTTGCCACATGGTGGGGACAGGGTCGTCCAAAGGCTGAAGCTACGCCTATAGCAGAGGCTGTGCCTGTGATGTCTGCTGGGAAGATGTGGGGCTGTTCCCAGTCCCCCTGCAGGCATCTGTGGCTGAGCAAGGCTCTGCCTCTGCCCCCAGATTGCTGCCCCTCCGGCTGGCTGCTGTACAGGGGCAAGTGCCTCTTCATCTCGTCCGAGAAGAAGACATGGGAAGACAGCAGAGATGAGTGCGAGAAGAAATATTCCCAGCTCTTGGTCACCAAATCCTGGAGTCGCTGGACTGTGCCGGTAGGGTGTATCCAGGTCTGGGGTCCTCAGGTGGGCCAGGACTGCTCTGGGGGCCTCTGTCTTGCCAAGCATTGTAGGGTGCAATGCTGATCTCTGGAGCACATGGCTGGTGGTGGACACAGGGCAGAGATGCTCTGATATCCCTGGATGCTGCCCAGGCTGGAGTAGGGCACTGGGGCTGCTCACCTGTCCTGCCTCAAGGAGCTCCAGCCCCAAGGGCTCCCTGTGGAGATGGCCACCCCTTGCAAACACTGCAGCACGTAGGTACCATGGAGATGCCACTAAAAGGCCCTTCTTCTCCTTCTGCAGACCTTCTTGAAGAATGCAGACATCCCATACTGGATTGGGCTGCAGAAAAGCAGCTTCCCCTGGTATGACTACGGCTGGCTGGAGGAAGAGGACCCGGATGCCGATGGGGTCTCAGACGCCTGGTTCTGGGTGGATGGCTCTCTTTACGAAAGGTGAAGCACAACCTCTCGCCAAAACCCCCTCTCCTCCATGGCTTTGGGAAGCATTTTAAATCCCACCAGTACCCAGTCCTGGGCATGAGCTCTGGGCAACAAAGAACATCAAAGCAGCTGAAGCCAAGGGGAGGTGTGTGCAGTGGTGTGATGAGATGCTTGGAGGCTGTGCAAATGGAAAGCCAAGACTCGGGGCGGGGGCGTGGCATGTGCAGGGCTTGCACGAGCAGGAGGCAGAGAGAGGACAAAAGAAACCGCAAGTTTTATTTGGGGTCTAGACAAAGTGTTTGAGCATCACCTCTATCACCCACGTGCCTCCCCGGCACTCGCAGAGGGTCCCAGGCTCCTCCCTGCCACGTGCACCCCCTCCTTGGCTTGCCCCC